TTCTGGTTGAGGCACTGGTTCTGTTGCTTGCAAAAGAGCGATAGCTATTGGATTTCCACCAGCATCTAATACTGGATCAGCTGTAGCTTCAGCAAGATTAGTCACAGATTTTGATTTTACACATTGAAAATCAACGTGTCGACTTTTCGCTTCTTCTTTCTCCCAAGACATATGAATAAATGGCCTTTGTACGTAATTATAAATTACTTCAGCGCGTCCGCCTGCTCTCTTCTTAATTTTTTCTTTATAAGTAGGATAACCTTCAATGCCTAAACGAATTTTTTTTAAACCACGTTCCTTCATTACCTGTTTGGCTACGTCTCTATTTTCGATATATTTGAAAAATCGATACATTGCAGTACTGTTAACAGCTGAAAAATATAAAGTATTTCATTAAAAACTACAATCCAATAAAATTATTGATTTTCTATTTTATATATTCAATATACTATAATAAGATTAAATATTTTGAAATTATAATAAATATATTATATAAGTATAGAAAAAACAAAAGTAAAAAAATCGGTATCTTTTACATTCTTACTTTGTGAATATTCTTCTCCCATCTGTGGAGGATATTCTTCATCCCAATCAACAATATCATCTTCCAGTAAAACAACAATGTGACATTCGCGATCACCTCTACGTGCGCTGTTTACCATAAGTGGCAATATTAAGTCTTCAAGGAACACTTCAAATTGGCATCGTGCACCTTCATTTGATAATTCATGTAATAATCCTCCTACAATAAATTGTGTTACTAAGATTTATTTTATGAATAAGTTTTGAAATATTCTAACTAATTATGAATCATTATATCTTATTATTTATATATATCGCTTATGAATTTTTTTTAATAACAAATGATTATTAAAAGATTTAAAAAAAAATGTTTTTGAATATTAAGACAATATATTTGTATATAAGGGATAACATTCATATTCACACTACTTTTGGAAGATTGATTGTAGAGGTCAAAATAAATACATAAATTAATATGCAAGTTGATATACTTATTTATTAAATTATGATTCAACTTAAATTGAAATTTATTTATTAAGTTATAAGCAATTAAAGTTTATATTAGACAAAACAAAATATAGGATATTTCTATTTTTGTTATATTGTTATTTTTTTCTATCTTTATTTAATGTAAAAATTGATTGTAATTTATTTAATTATTTATAATTTTATTAATAAACATTTTATCAACATTTTTTATGTTTCTCTTGACCTCTAGAATTTAAAAATTTCTAGTTTTCTAAACTTTCTATAATATATAAATATTTTAATATAAAATATATATATAAATTGCATGCAACCATGAATTGCACAATTGTATATCATCTGAAGAATTTCATATCATCTGTATATCATCTGTATACCATCTGTATATACATGTATATTACAATAATAATACATATAT